TGAAGGGGTACTTTGGGCAATAATAGGATGCATGTCAACTATTTATACAAGTATAGGAATCTTTTACTAGAATATACAATTCGCTGGCCTAAGTAAGTATTATTAATAGAAATATCACTCTTAGCAGTGGCATATTACATCTAGCAGCATTATCCTTGTCAAAACTTAGTAAAAGGTTACACAGCTTCTGGTGGACAGAGGTGAGAGAGCGGAAACAAATAAAAGCCCTGATGTGCTCCGGACCTCAAACATGTGGCTACACGGAAAAGCATTTAACCCAGATTCACACTTCCTGCCGGGGGTCGAGGGAATATGAGTAGACGGTCTGTAAAGTCGAAGCTAGAGCTAGATACTGTAATAGCCAATAAGGATTCTACTAATGGCAAACGTTATAACATAAAGGCATGGTAGGACTTGTGCTACTATTTAAAAATCATTGATTTAAACCCATAAGCTATCTACCTTTCATCATACAGACTGAGAGTGCATACTGGATGCAACTCCTTAAAAAGCTCACACAGGTAGTACTTATCTACTACAGTACTATCTACAGGCTTTGGTAAGCATGATTGTTAGAAGTAAGCATTTTTAGCGTGAGCACGTACCTATAGCAGCAGTACTTTAGTCCATACAGCTCAATGGATAGAATCGAGAGTGCAGAAACCAAGGCAAACGCTGCTGTGCTCAGAACCCCAAGCATGTACTTACTCGAAATAGTTTAAACCTAGATTCACACTCCCTGTCGAGACCAAGGGGATATGAGCCCTAGCGTTGGCAAATCAGCGTCACCTCTGACAAATTTCAGCGTCAGAATAGTACTGATACTATTAAGACTCGACTGCATCGATAGTCAGAAGTAGTAGAAACAGTCGTAACTGTATCAGTCTCGGCCTCCTTGGGCCTCCCTTAACACTTACTAAGGGTGAGTGAAGGTAGATAATCCAGTGGTACCCGCGCAAAGTCTTCTGTCATTTAAAACTAAGTTAGGCGGTGTTTCGGCTTGCCTTGGAGAAAGCAGCCT